GGACTAAAATAAACAACGTTTCCTTGTGGATTCGACCCGGTATTTTACCGGAATTTATTACTATATCGGCACTTGTACACTTGCAAGTTTAGCCCGGTCAAGTTTTTGGCGCCGTTTCCGGGGAAACGGTCTTGTTTAATAAAGTCCAAAAAAATCAATCAATCACAAATCCTGAATTTATTTTACTCTTCACAAACTTCACTTGATCTTGGAAATGTTTATTTTTGTGTGTGTAGATATTCCTTTATGTTTGCATGCATTTGAGAAGTCAAGGTTCTAAATCTCTTGAACCACTCGATCTTGATAAAGAAAAAAAAACACTTGCAAACACATTCGGAAGGAGCAAAAAACCACAAAGATGATGCCCACATTAAATGAAAGGAAGAGACCTATTGTTGCAACTTCCCCTTCTTGCATTGTTCTAAGCGAGGAAGCGAGAGACTATGAACTAAATCAAAGCTACTTCAACGCTATGCCTCAGTTTCATGGTCACTCAGGGGAAAATCCATTGAACTTTATCACGGAGTTCTATGGATTCATTTAAGAGATTCCAAGGAATAAGCTCGTCGAAGACGATCTCAAGCTCAAATGTTTCCCCTATACTCTCAAAGGGGCAACAAGAGGATGGTTCCTAGAACAAGCTCCGGCTAGCTACACAACTTGGGAAGGTATTTACAATGCCTTCATGTCTAAATACTACACGCCTACCATGACTCAAAAGCTTAGACAACGCATTTTCAATTTCAAACAACAAAATGGTGAGCTCTTTCAAGATGCATGGTAGCATTTCAAATCATTGCTAAGGGAATGCCCACACCACCGCATTCCCCTTGATCTTCAAATTGACACGTTCTACAATGGTTTGAATGCATGTTGTCAAGCCATTGTAGACAACCGAGCTGAGGGCTACATTGGAAACAAAAATGAAACTCAAGCACTCTGAATCATCGAATATATTGCCTCAAATCCTCAACTTCAAGGAGGCGATTACAAAGTGGTCGGGATCAATGAAATCTCTATCACAACAGAGATAAACAAAAGGCTTGAAGAAATGGAATCAAAGATAGAGCAAAATTTCCAAACGGCCCTTCAAGCCGTATTGGGAGGTGTCAAGCAAATAGCTAATGTGGAGAGCATTCAAAGTCTGGAAGGTGATTTATCTCAACATCTTGAAGAGGTAAATTTCATGAACTCTTATGGGAACCGGGAGAACAATAATCCTTCTAATCAACAAAGGTGGAACCAAGGGAGCAATTGGAAGCAACAATCCCAATCCGGAGCATCTAATTTTGGGCCGCCCAAGGAGACCACCATGGAGGATATGATGCAATTCATATCCAAGAGCATGGAAACCATGAAAGCCCAAAATGAAGAGAACCATAGTAGAGTGGAGGCATCCATTGGGAATCTCCACTCTCAATTCACCAAGTTAGATCTTCGTTTTGAAGATCAAAATATGAAACTCAACCAACGCATAGACACCATCGAGCAATATACCAAGGCATCCATCCGGAATCTTGAAGTTTAAATGGGGCAACTCGCCCAAAAAGTGAGTTCTAGAGAGCAAGGTAAATTCCCTATAACTACGGAGGTGAATCCGAGGGAGAGCGTCATGGCTATTATCACAAGAAGCAGGAGGCAAACGGAGGATCTTAAGATGCCGGAAAGGAGAAAGACATCGGAGGAACAAGAAGTGCACACACCGTTACCACCTATTATGGCTCAATATGTTTCTTCCATCCCCTATCCACAAATGTTGAAGAAGAAAGTAGATGATAAGAAATACAAGAAATTTCTTAATGTTTTTAAGAAATTGAGCATCAACATACCTTTTGTGGAGGCCATTGCAGAGATTCCATCATATGCAAAATTTCTTAAAGGTATCATCTCCAACAAAAAGGGGTTAGAGGAATTCACAACAGTGGTACTAACGGAGGGGTGTAGTGCCATTATTCAAAAAAAACTTCCTCCAAAACTAAAAGACCCCAGAAGCTTCACTATCCCATGCTCTGTTGTAAAAATCGGGGAGGTAAGGTCTCTTTGTGACCTTGGTGCTGGCATAAATCTTATGCCTCACTCCCTATTTAAAAAACTAAGTGTGGGGGAACTCCAACCAACAACGGTCGCCTTACAATTAGCGGATAGAACAATCCGCTATCCAATAGGCATCATTGAGGATGTTCTTGTCAAAGTTGGAAAATTCTACTTCTCGGTAGATTTTCTTGTTTTGGACATGGAAGAGATGAAGATCCCCGTCATCCTTGGGAGATCATTTTTGGCCACCTCCGCAGCCGTCATTGATGTACAAGCGGGCACGGTAAAACTAAGAGTGGGAGGAGATGATGAAACATTCCATGTATGGAAGACACAATCCACTCCAACTCAAAACATGGAGGACAACACAAACCGTTTCACACCTCCCAAGGCCATAAACATCATGGACATCAAGAAGGCACAAATATTTGGGCCCGAGGATCCTCCAACGCACCCCGAAGACGTACTCGAGATCACACCAACGAACAACGAAGTTCTCCCGAAACTCTACCCGATGAAAGGAGGCACAATGATCAAATTCTACCGGAGAAAAGCATCACATCCACCGCCTTAAAAGAGGTACGTTCGTCCGGCCTATGACGTTAAACTAAACGCTAATTGGGAGGCAACCCAAAAAAAAAAAAAAAATCAATAAAATAAAAAAAAATAAACAAAAAATAAAATCATCGATCTGAGCTCAAGTATCATGCATTTTCTTCTCTCAAAGACATCTCATTCCGCTATTGAAGATTTCATCTTGCGTTGCATTCTCCAATCTACATTGAGGACAATGTAAATCAAGTGTGGGGGGTGAATAATTAGTTGAGAAACTTTTCTTTGCAAATTAAATTTTTTCTAGGAAGGTTAAAAGTTTTGATATTCTCTCTTTTCAGGATTTTGGTTGAGAAAGATTTTCTTTTACTCAAAAAATGTATTTTTCGATTAATTAAAATATTTATTAATCTTGAAACCACCACTTTCACTCAAATTTGTGACAATTTTCCAAATCCATACAAATGTGCATAGAGTGCAAATTCAAAATAAAAGTTTCATCCCAACTCCAAATCACTCTATTATCGGATTCTCCTCATTTCTGACAATCTAGAAATATAATTATGGAGAACAAAAAAAGAGTTTATATACAAAAGCAAAAAAAATTAAAAATAAAATTCATGTTCTCCTAGAATAGCCTTCTCTACAAAATCAAGTTGTTAGTCCATAAAAAAAACACCGACATACCCACACATTGCCTAAATTGTCACAAAATAAACCCATCAAGTGTTTAAATATTTTTCTTAATCTTAAATACATTTATTGTGAGTAATAGAAAAAGATTTTTGGCCCGAGAAAGATTAAAGATTTTATATCTAATTTTTAACATCTTATTAAACTTTTAATTTGCATGGTTTAGTTTCTTTTCTAATTGTACATCATTACAAAGAAATTGCTTGAGGACAAGCAATGCTCAAGTGTGTGGGGATTTGATAGCCGTTATATTTACTTGTGTTTAACATAAGTATTTATAAGTATTTTTTGAAGAAAAGAAGAGAAATTGGGAAAATATCTTGAGAATGAGAGTTAGAGCATAAACCATTGCGATGAACAGCTTTTTGGACCAAGAGGATGACGTTCTGCCCATAATTCAAGTATAACTCATTGTATAGAACACGAAATCACTCGAATCGAATTTCATGTGAATGTTAACTCAATAAGGTACAAATTGTATGAAGACGTCATGGCCAGAATATGAAAAGAACAAGACTCAATCAACAAATAAAGTCAGATGTCGCTGGTGGGATTTCAGGATGCATACCTCTCAGTGTTTTATTCATAACGTTTGATTGGATGGCTAAAACCACGTCATTCAAGTTTTGTTAGATAGAAGACTTCATTATCTACAACTTTGGTGAGGGAATCATGTCCAAATTCGTAGCGGAACATCCCCAAAATCCTGGTACAAAAACCGACACTTTTTGATCCATTTCGGAGGAAGAGAAATGAAGTACATTTGTGGGCGCAGCAACCGGCGCCGGTCAATCTTGAAACGGCGCCGGTCGAGACGTTTTTTCTCGCACAAATGAGCCTGTTTTCAACCGGGTCCGGTCATCTGACCAACCGACGCCGGTTGGGTCGATTGTTCTGCTAAAACACAGCATCGTGCAAGCTGATTCTTGATGGGAAAACCCCATCTTCCTCAATGCTAATCAAATATTGCTTCCATACCTCATTGTTGGGTTCTAATAGACTAAAAGATGTCATTCTTTAGCCTATATAAAGCCCTCAATTCATCATACAAATACATCCCATTCCATAGATTAATTCCTAATTTTTATATTTGTTCTTGCTATTTTTCTTCAAGTTCTTTTGGAGAAGAAGCTATTTCTCTCCTCTACAATTGGTTCTAGGTAATTTTTCTTGTATGTTATTTTATTTCCTTGTTCTTAGCTACACTTTTGTAATTAATATGAGTAGTAGTAGCTAATTTCTTAGCTAAAGCTAGCGATGAACTTCTATGCCCATTAGGTGTTTGATAAAAGTTCTAAACCAATAAATTGTGATTTATCCTTTATATATTGATTGTTTATGACTATGGTGTACAACATAGAAGTATGTTAAATTTAGTTTATACTTGCAATTAACGTTGAAGTCTAAACTATGAACATTAAAGAATAAACATATATAGTACCGAGAATAGAAATATATACGGTCTTATATGATACGGGTGTGATGTCTTGATATTCAACGGGGTTTTCGGTAGATGAATGTAACACGGGACTTACACGTAACGAAAATCACGCTCTCGCTGCCTTAACCGGAGTTGAGAATATATTAGCGACATCATATTCATAATTATTGGCAAAGAACTAATATTCAACCCTATTAAAGTATTTAAGTGATTCCCGAAGCCTTAGTTTTTGTTATTATTCATCTTAAAATCAAAGTTAGTTAACGATTATCTTCTTGAACAAAAAGTTAAAAACCAAAAATATAAAACACGAATCAAAATCTATGCACTTTACTCATTTCTTCATTTAAAGTTATCTACTCACGAACTAAATTAAACAATGTTTCCTTGTGGATTCGACCTGGTATTTTACCGGAATTTATTTCTATATCGGCACTTGTACACTTGCAAGTTTAGCCCGGTCAAATAACAATATAACACTATCCAAAGCTTGGGAAATTGACAATGAGTTTCCTAACATTTTCAAGCCTCTTTACAACTCTAATAAGGTGTATATTCATAGGCTCTATCTATTTTTAATCATGAAAATATTGCAGATTAAACTCCAAAATGTGGGCAAATTGTAGCAAACATGTTTTACAAGTTCATCCATTTTCCCAAATAGGTCAAAAAATGTAAAGCTTGTGACAGCCAAGACAACATAATTAAAAAAAATACTCAAAGCAATTGTAACTTGCCTCCTTGATCTTCTTCTCCGTGACTTTGGACACAAGCTAAGCTTCGCTTTCACCACAACAGACTGGTCACTCGGGAGCACGCCCTTACCTAGAAGTTAAATTATCTAAATTTTGTGATGTCAATCATCAAAAATTTGTCCTTAGAGCATCTCCAATGGGGTAATGGATTGGAGTAAAGTCTATCCTACGTGGCATAAGAGAGAGATAGAGATAAGATGATTATTTTAATTTAATATAAAGAAAGTAGTGTGTATGAAAATTGAAATGGAAGAGAGAGATAGAGGTAAATTGTAGACAATGTTTATGACAATGTCCACAAATAGACTTTACACGGGAATCGAGGAGCAAAAGTGGATGAAAAGTGGGTTAGAAGTGATATAAAAAATGAAAATTAAAATAAATATGAAGATATGTAGGTCATATACATAAAATGTGTGAGATAAAAAATGGGACCCATGTGTAAGAGTGTGTAAGAGAATAGATATCCCCATTGGTGGAGATGCTCTTAGAACCTATGGATTCGATTTCCCCGGGGACATGTGACCATATCTTATACATGTTGAGAGTAGGGCAAGACAACTTGTTCCAGAGCTTATGGGAATACCTCACACTAGCCTTTCCAAAGTATCCATGATGGTACTTATCGAAGAGGATCCTATGGTGGTGCATTCATGTGGCGTTACCGCTATCCAATGGATGCTTCTGTTGCTTCCCAATACGGTCATGGTCGGCGCTCACATGGCCTCTCATGTTCCTTCAAGTGCTAATACGGCTAACAACAACACTAAAACGTCATTCAAATTGAGCATCTAGAATCGACGATTCCTTATTCTTCACTATTCTCAAGCTACACGTGGACCACTAGAACAAATAATTATGGAAAATTGATGTTGTGGATTCTTCAAAATAGGCTTTTATTTCTGGATTCAAATTAGGGATCAGAGAAAGTGTATTGTATCACGTTGAAATGGAGTATCTGAGAGCGGCGGTGGCGATGTGATTGAGGTGAAGCTGAGAGGCGGTGGTGCCAAGATTGAGGTGAACTCGAGATTCGGTGGCTCTGTGATTGAGATGATCGAAGTCGAGAGAGGCGGTTGAAGAAATTGATCTACTGAGTTTCTAGCAGATGATCGATCGAAGCTGTGAGAAAACAAAAATAACAGAGCTTCGTGACTTCCTCCTCACATGTGCAAAGCTTCTAGGAGATGGGGAGATGTAGAGCTTCGACACCAATTTTTGATTGTTTTGGATTTAGTTTGACAGCGCCTATATGGTACACCCGGGTGTATACGTACACCCGGTTTTTTTGTAATTGTTTGCAAAATGAAGGTGATCAATTTTATGGAGTGGAGTGTTTGCTTCCTTTTATTCTCTCCCGTTGTTTCTTCCTATTTGTCCTCACTTTGCATTATTTTTATTTTACATTTTTTTCATCTCCACTTTCAATTCATTTTCAGCTTCATCTGGTTTTTGCTTGTTCTTCTTTCTGTTGCTTCTCTTTTTTTTTCGTTTTTCATTTCTTTTGATTTTGAATTTTAGTTTATCTAACTTTAACTTTCCTTTTTCTTTAACTTTCCTTTTTCTTTTATTCTGCTTCCATCCTTCTTTTTGAATTTTAATTTTTCTAATAAGCACACTTACATTGGTTGGTCTAAAATAAAGAATTGGTGCTTCTTTATATATGTTATATTGATATGAGCCTACACAAATTCATATTCGAGCATACTAGAGATTTTAATTGAGCTTTTCAAATTTTTTTATGCTTATTTCGTAAGTTATGTATACTCATTTGAAATTGGTACAATGCTAATTTTAAAATGTAATATTGGTGTAACGCTCATTTTAAAATTTTCGATGCTCATTTCATAAGTTATGTATTCTCATTTAATATTTAGGCATACTAAAGATTTTAAATGAGCGTTTTAAGTTTTTCAATGCTCATTTCTTAAGTTATGTATGTTAATTTTATATTGATGTAATGCTCATTTTGAAATGTCACATCCATGCATATTGGTGTAATGCTCATTTTAAAAATTTTTATGCTCATTTCATAACTTATGAATTTTTCGATGCTCATTTCGTAAGTATGAATGTTCAATTGATATTGGTGTAATGCCCATTTTAAAATGTCACATCCATGCATATTGGTGTAATTCTCACTTAATTTTTTTTTAATGTTCATTTCATAAGTTTTTAATGTTCACTTTAAAAAACTAATTCAGGCCCAAAAAAAATTACTGGCATTTTTGTAATTTAAGCGAAAAATCACGGCTTCCGCTAAATGAGCAATCATGTACTTTTAATGAGCATCTCAACTATTTAATTGAGTATTTAAAAGGCTAACAACGAGTATCACGATCCCTGCTTCATATCTTCTAATTCTTTTTTCTTTCTTCTTTTTTCTTTCTTCTTTTTTCTTTTATAAAAACTTATTAAATTTTATCTATAATGCACTCCTATTAATTTCAATATGCGAGTATAATGTCATATGATACTTTTGAAATATACATTGATACGACATTTTAAAAATGAGCATAACATCAGTACCAAATGAGCATATGTAACTTACGAAATGCGTATTGATATGAAAATTGTAGAGTTTGTTAGTTGAACATCACAACATTTTCGTTGAGCATCAAACCTCATATATCGAGATGAAAAACACAGTTTCTGAAAAATGAGTATTAATGAACTTTTAATGAGTATCCAACCTATTCTGTTGAGTATTAAGAGTCTAATATTGAGCATCGTGATTTCTGCTTCATAACTTCTGATTCACTTTCTTTTTCTTATTTTTTCTTTTATAAAAAATTGTTAAATTATATCTATAATCAACTCCTATGGATTCCAATATATGAATCTAATTTAATATTAAATTTTGAAATATGCATTCAGATGAAAATTGTAAGCTTTGTTCGTTGAGCATAAAAACATTTTCATTAATCATAAAGTCTCCTCTATTGAACATTGGAGCTCTGCAATTGAGCCTAAAAAAATTTCAAGACATGTTAAGCTTCAAAACATCTTCATTGAATAGTCAGCCATAATAGGTGTTTATCTCAAAGCGACATTATTGTTGTACATTCCGTGTAAATACTATACTCATTTGGTTATAGCGAAAAACTCATTTTGTAATCTTTCACCCATGAACATTTATTATAATTAAGCACTATACTCATTTTAGTTTAACCAAAATCAATTAATGTAACTAACTTCATGTACTCAATATATATTGCTTGTTTTAACAATCGGAAACATAACAATTTTAAAAAGAAAAGTAATTCAAAATTCCTTAGTTAAGCCCTATCAATTTATTGTGTTTATTTTATAAAATTACATCAATGCACATTTAATAGAAAAATGAAAGAAATAGAGGTTTTTTAATTTCTAATATATGAATTTTTTGAAATAATTGCATATAAATTGAGAAGAAACTAATGGAAGACATACATGATATTAAAAAAGACTGATGATCTCAAAATTGTAGGTGGAGAAGAAGAAAGATACGGAGTATATAAAATATAAAAAGAAAATTAAAAAAGCAGAAGCACATACGTGCGGTAGAAATGAAAAAGAGAAAACACATACTTCGTATACTCTAAATGAAATGCTAGACACAAGTGTGACTTGATCGGGATATTTCTACAATTCCTTACTTCATTCCTCTCTATTGGGCTTACCTACAATGACGGCTAGATTGGTCCATAAAGGCAAATACTAAACCACTCAGGTCGGCAGAAAAAAATGAAAAAGGTTAAAATTTAAAAAAAACTAGCCGTTTAGTTAACCCAATCCATACTGGTAAAACCATCTTTTCGATCTAGTAATTAAATCCTGGTTTTGATTTATTATTATTTTTTGTTTAAACGTCTTTAATCTACAATAATTACGAGAAAAAAATCCATTAATATTATTCTTTAAAATATTGTGGACAAAAATATTACTCTCCGTTTCGCTAAGATTGTCTTTTTTTTTCCTTTTCAGGAAGTCCACTAAGATTGTCACAAACCAAATTTGGTAAAGTTTGTAAAACTCTAAATCATCCTTACTTTTCTTTACTTTATCAATTCAATATCAATAACATAAACTCACTTTTCTTAATAATTGTGCCACCTCTTCACGTTCCAATGTTAGTGGGACAAAGGTAGTACTTAGTAACTATCAGTGACTACAATTGTGTTCAAAGTTTACATCGTAGTAACTTACATGTAATTACTACGATATAAATTTGAACACAATTATAATCATTATTAATACTCTCTCCGTTCCAATAAAAACATCGATTTTGACCGGGGACACAGGTTTAGAAAATGCACTATTTGGCTTTGACTTTCCATTTCTGCCCTTCAACTATTTGCAGCTTCAAAATGGGTATTAAACAGTAAAAGGTAGCAGACTTTTTGGACTACTCATATAGTACAAAGAAGCGGCCACTCAAATTGAATGAGACCAATAACTCTGCTCCACTGGTGGCGGGAATTCCTAAAATATTTGTCCACTCCCTCCAAAAAAAAATAAACAACACACATATTGCATGTCAATATATACGACCAAAGCTTTCTCAAAATAGATAAAGTACAACCGACAAGAATAAGGAAACGTCTGAAATTGTTTTAAAAAGAAAAGGTTGCTAAATGAATCAAGGCAACGAATCATGCAACATCTCCTCATCAACTGCTCAAATGGAGTGCTCAACAGAGGAGTACTATCTGCACTTGCTACCTACATCTGAGCGTTACCAGCCTCCAACAACTGCATCACCTCTTTCACTGTTGTTGTTGTGTCTGCATTAACTGAAATAGGTAGTCCCTCAGCCCCATCCCTTGTAATTTCCCCTTACAAATATGTGGTAATTTGTAGTTGTTGTCACTCTTAGCAGTCAAAATCTCATTCATACACAGTTGTAATGATACGCAAACCTTGTTCAAAGTATCAGGGCAGAAGTCCTCAAATGCTTTCCTCACCCCTCACATTAACTCTGAAACTGTTGAAGTTGTTGTTGTTTGTTGTAAGGACTGAATCGCTCTAAAAACTCTCAGGTCTAATACCTTACATCAGGACTATTAGGCGGTTGGCGTGCTAGTTTGATGTTAATCCCTCACTAGTAGTGTAATACCTGAGATTAATTTAAGAGGATTAATAGTACTACTCATACCAACAAAGGTGCATCTCCTTTTAAGGGAGCTCATCACCCAAGAACTCCAAAGTTAAGTGTGCTTGCACGGGAGTAATTTTGGGATGGGTGACCCCCTGGGAAGTTTCTCGGGGTGCGCACGAGTGAGGACAAAGTACGCGGTAAAGGCTCGTGGTGGTTTGTGAGGACAGTACTAGAGGTCTGGAGAGTAATTGTGAGTAACTACCTTGGCCCCTATGGGTCGGGGTGTTACAAGTAGCCTCCTTCATGAACTCACTGCCATTAGGACTTATATGTGGTTTGACATTATCTTGTTGGATATATATATATATATATGTCCCCAGATGCATCAATTGGCCACATGACTTTGATGGCAGGCAAAACTTTACTGATTACGCATTGTCTGAAATATCTTTTGTCACACAGTCAATTGCCTTTTCTTCTATTGTCCCTACAATTCTGTTTTTTATGTTTCTTTTTGCTGACTCAAAGACAATGAAGGGGAAAATACCAATTTTCCCATCAAATAAGACATCTGAGTCTTCTGAAAACCTGGGCCTAGCAACATCAGTTTGCAAGATCCTCACACTGAGCAATTATCATCACAGAATCTGCACAGGGCTGCCTTAAGCCTCCATAGGATTAAGCTGGTAGCTTAAGGCATACATCACTTAGGCAAATAGGGCACACACATAGGCAACAACACACGAGGTTCTCAGACTACTCAAGTATCATCACATAATCCATACAGGGCTACCTTAAGCCTCCACAGGATTAAGCTGGTAGCTTAAGGCATACATCACTTAAGCCTCCATGGGATTAACCTGGTGACTTAAGGCAGACATCACTTAGGCAAATAGGAAACACACCAAGAATGAGGTTATTTCTGTCATTAATGGATCTACAATTTCAAATCTGGTGTCAGTGGGAAGACTTTAGAGAGGTGCACAAATCTAAAGATGGATACAATGGTTGATGAATAGATAGAGCGGTGAGATGGACTTGGAGGCGAGAAGAGGAAAGTTCAGATAGAAAAGAGAGAGAGGAGTGTGTGTAAGGAGACGAGAAGGAGAGAAAGTTCAAGAAGAGATGAGAGAGGAATACAACGAGACATGAGAGAGAGGAGCATTAATAAATGTGGGGGGTTCGTAGGGTTGGGTGGATGGTGGGTGGATAGAATAAGTGGGGGTAATTAATGTTGGTAGATGTGTAAGGGTATTAGCGTAAAGTGATATGTAGAACTTGCCAAAAAGAGAAATAAGGAGATAAATTTGGGAAATACCAAAATAGAAAGACTGAAGATAATAATGGGACGGAGAGAGTAATATTTAAGGAAAAACCCCTAATTACAATCTTAAATTCATATGTTCAAAAACTAATGTCGGATATCCAAATATCTTATTAGGAAGACAATCATGATAAATTATTTGGACAACTCCCTAAATAGGAGTAAAAACATTTGAGAATTCTAAAAATAAGTATAGTAAGTAGTCTTTTTTTCTCTAAATGGGTGTACGTTAATATCATCCATTCATCCTAAAAAATTAATTGTCACATTTGGCATTATCAAACATTAAACATGGTATTATACTATCAAATGTGGC